CCACCCTGGGGAAAGACCTCGTCAATTCACCCTATCCATGCCCCGTATGATTTTATAAACCTCTAAAAAGGTCACTCCTCAGCCTCGAATGATCCAGGGAAAATATCCCAACCTATTCAGACTATAGCTGAAAGCCTTTAACCCTGGCAATATCCTTGTAAACCTTTTCTGAACCCTTTCAATTTTCACAACGTCACTCCTATAGCAGGGAGACCAGAATTGAATGCAACATTCCAAAATGCTCTTGCCTGCTTTCATTTGTACTTATCGTGTCATAGCCAGAGAATCACCTACAATGGTTTCACTTCTCACTCATGTACCCTGTTTTCCTCCAACGAATTAATCTGGGTCTGCTCTTTTTCTATGTGTTGACACTGTTGTACCCAGTTCTCTCTCAACCTCTCTTCTGTTTCCAAGCTGTCTTGCTGCTTATCCAACAACCAATTTTAAATAGGGGAAATTCCAATCATTCAAATATTGAGCAGACTGAAATCATTATCTTGGTTCCCAAAACTGTTCCCTTTGCACCAGAGCCACCTCTAACCCTGGCAACCAACTGAATCAGACTGTTCACAATCACGATATCGTACACTAATTCAAAGCGAACTTTGTACCACACATTAATGGGACTACTTATTCCCAAGTTTCTAAAATTTCTACAACTTGCTTCAACTCATTTGCCATTGAAAGCTTCACATACACCTTTGTAACCTACAGACTTGATTATTTCATAATACTCCTTGCTAATCTCTTGCATCCCACTCTCCTAAATTTGGAGTTCTTTCAAAATTCTGCTAGTCAGCCCTAAAGCACAAGTTCCAGTCACTCATCTCCTCTATGCTCATTGACCTACACTGGATCTCAATCAAGAAATGCCTAGTTTCTAAACCCATCCATGACTGTCTACCAGACCTCCCACCCGCCTGCCCGATGATGCATAAATCTCTAATCCTCTAGATCCCCACACTCCACAGCTTCTGACCACTTCAGAATTGCCTATTTTAAAATCACTCCACTAGTGCCAGCCATGCCTTCAGTTACCTGTTCTCAAGCTCTGGAATTCCATCCACTTTTTTTCCTCCTTTAGACAGTAAAATCTACTACCTTGACCAAATTTTGGCAAATCAGGCTGAATGTCTCTGATTTGGCTTGATGCCCCATTTTGTTTATGTTCCTTAAAATCCATTGGGATGTCTTATCACTTTAAAGCGGACTTATAGAAGCAGGTTTTCACAAAATCCCTACAGGGCTCCGGAGCACCTGGAGGAAACCCATGCAGACATGGGGGTAAATGTGCAAACTCCACACAGTCACTCAAGGGTGGAATTAAACCAGAGTCCCTGGTCCTATGAGGCAGCAGTGCTAACCACTGTGCCACCATGCTACCCCTCGTCGTTACTGTTGAATTGGTGTGTAGATAATGTCCACTAAATATAGTACTTTTATTCTACTAACGCAGGTCAATAGAGTGGTCAAGGAGGCATACGGCATGCTTTCATTCATCGGATGGGGTACTGAGTACAAGAGTTGGCAGGTCATGTTACAGTTGCATAGGACTTTGGTTCGACCACGTTTGGAATACTGCATACAGTTCTGGTCACCACATTACCAAAAGGATGTGGATGCTTTGGAGAGGGTGCAGAGGAGGTTCACCGGTATGCTGCCTGGTATGGAGGGCGCTAGCTATGAAGACAGGTTGAGTAGATTAGGATTATTTACATTAGAAAGACAGAGGTTGAGGGGGGACCTGATGGAGGCCTACAGAATCATGAGAGATATAGACAGGATGGGCAGCAAGAAGCTTTTTCCCCCCCCCAGAGTGCAGGACTCAATTACTAGGGGTCACGATTTCAAGGTGAGAGGGGAAAAGTTTAAAGGGAGATATGCGTGGAAAGTTCTTTACGCAGAGGGTGGTGGGTGCCTGGAATGCATTGCCAGTGGAGATGATAGAGGCGGGCACGATAGCGTCATTTAAGATGTATCTAGACAGATACATGAATGGGCAGGGAGCAGAGGGATACAGATCCTTGGAAAATAGGCAACAGGTTTAGATAGAGGATCTGGATCGACACAGGCTTGGAGGGCCAAAGAGCCTGTTCCTGTGCTGTAATTTTCTTTGTACAATAGAGAAAATTAAGCCAGTGATCTTACTCACTTTATGAATTTGTAGTGACGTGACTCAAGGATGATTTCTTCTTTCCATGAGACTGTGCACAGTTCATCAGTTACAACAGAGCAACATTAGAGCTTTTAACGTCAGCAATTGGGTGAAAAAAAAAAAGGGTGCATGCTGATGCCAACCCTCTTTAGTAAATTTTCCACATTGCACCTGTGCATTTCTGGCAATTCAAATGACAGCATCCAGCTGCATACCAGAGATAATGGTACCCTGTTTAACTTGGCAAGAATCAAAGTACATAAAGTACTGGTCCATGCATTGCTGTTTCCCATCGCAGTTCACCAGCAGCAGCATGCAATCCAATTCACCCAGAAATGCAAGGACCTTAAACTGACAATCAGCATCAAGGAGACAAAGATATGGGCCAGAATGTAGGGACTTGATCTTTCACTGACATTTTCCACATACTTTGAATCAACAATTACCAGTAACTCATTCCTTGATGCTGAAATCAACACCAGAATTACCAAGGCTGTAATTGAGAAGTGTGGGCCAACAACAAATTGACCAAAAGTACAAAGTTCCATGGTGCACCAAACCAGTGTTCTTCAGATCATTCTCTACAGTCACAAAGACAAGAAAACCTAAGCAAGGAAAACAGCTCGATACCTTCCAGCTCTGCTGCCTTAGATGAAAATTAGGCACCTCCTTGCAGGACAGAGTGCTAAAAATGGAAGCACACCAGAGAGCAGGAATTCCCAGCAGGTTTGCCTCACTTTAACAGGTACTGAATTGGGTGGGTCATGTGGACCTAATGGCCAATAGCCATGGACAGTAGCTATGTTTCCAAAAACATGCGCCAATAGCAAGTTCACCACTGAACGAAACCAACAGGTTATCCATATCTGAGATATATGGACATCTGCTATCGAGACTTCAAGTTAATTGGAATTGGTCTCAATACATGAGATGCCCTTCCTCTTGACAGGATGGTCTGTTTGGAAAGACTGTGGAAAAAGAGGACCAATGGAATGGTCAGAGACTGGAAGCAGGATCACACGATTGGAAAAAAAAAAGTCAGCAAACCACAGGCCATCACTATCTATTAGTATCAGCCGTGAAAGGGATTGTTGCTTGTGTCAGCTTCTACAGCCAGAAACAAAAATTTTAAATCCACAAGCGGCATACACCCCAGGCACAATCAATCATCTCCTGAGATGGCCCACTGTAGGTGAACATAATTTAGATTTTCCATTCAGCACACCCTAACAGCATTTTACATAACACACCAAAAATATGCAGAAAATGAGAGACAGAAGATAAGTGATAGGGTAGAAACATCATTCATTCAACTCCCCACAGAAAAGAATTTGACAAAAATGGACACAAACTTAAAATGATTTGTATATTTATCCCAATCCCAAAACTGAAGAACTTCAAGACCCAAGGTTATTTTCATAGCTTGTCAATGGTTGCTATGTCAGTCACATGGGCAGGTGGAAAAACAACTGGGACACTCCTTTACCCTAGAAAACAAGGTGTAGAGCTGGATGAACACAGCAGGCCCAGCAGCATCAGAGGAGCAGGAAAGCTGACGTTTCGGGCCTAGAACCT